GGGCTTTTAGTTCTCGCTTCCTGCGGTTCGGGCGGATTGGAAATAGGTTTCAGATTGATTCCTGGAGAGTAAGGATCGGTGTCGTTAAACGAGATCGCTGGCGACAGAAATGAAAAAGTTTGCTTGGACTGGGTCAAAGTTCCACGCGTTGAACAAGCGAAGACTTGTCTGTTGAATTAATGCTTTCGGACCCGACGCCCACAATAAGCATACTTGTTTTATCGATATTCATAAGTGAAAGAGGAGATATTTATTATCTCGGAAGAGCAATATTTTTTGAACATATGTTATCGAATTCTTTTAAGAGATACCCTCATTTGGTTCAAGATTTATCAATTTTAATATGTTCTGCTCATCTATCAGGAAGCAGGCTATCGGTGTTAAATGAAACCAAACGATATCTGTATGTAGCACAGTACTGTCTACTTCCGTTTACAAGACAATCAAACTTTGGTGATTACAATTCGCGTCGTGAAATAATTTATTATATTCCAAGTTGATTTCGGTAAATGATTGTCTTGTCGTCAAATATTTAATATTTTGCTATATCAAATATTATTGCTTCATTACTTATTAATTGCCGTTTCGAAAATTAAAACGAGAGTCCTCTCTGTGGATGTACGAAACTAGTTCGTGGAAAGAACAGTATTACGTACGAAACTAATCTAGAAACTCCGTCGGTCGTTTTATCATTACAACGCAGCGCCAGTTTCGGCAGGTGAAGATCTGTAGCTTGGAAAAAATTAATTAACAATTACGCGAATTAATTCGGAAAATTTAATACATTAAGCGATTAAGTATCTGCAGCCATTTTTGAAATGTTTTTAATCGACTTGAGATTTTAATTATCCGACTATAAGAATCAAGAGCAGCCAGTTACCGACGTATTTAGTTCTTCTATTCACCACTGTAAGCGCGAATGTTGCCACTTTTATTTCCAAACAAGAAATTGTTGAGCTGATAAAAATTAAATAAAAATCAAACATAAATATGAAGAAAATGGAAGACTGAAGAAAAGGAGAAAGTCTTCAATTCGTGAGATTTATTTTAAATATAAAATCGTATCTAAAATAGATTTAACAAATCTTTGGTTTTATCATGTTGTTCTTCCGAAACTATCAGTGATTATTAAAAAATTTATAAATAATTACTTATATATGATTGTGATTTGTGCGATATCTACATATTTATTATCTTACTTGACGTCCTATTTCATTTCACTAAAATGCTATAAAATTACCAGTTCGAATGCTTTTAAAAGCTACACAGGAAGATCCAAATTACCAGTCAAGGTTTTTTTAAAGGATTCTTTAGACCTTAGCAACAGGCGGATTGATAATTGTTTTACTTAGGTATTTGTAGTACAAGTCTTCGCGCTAATAGCCATCGTAAAATCATCAGATAATCTTTGGACGATTATTACTACACTTGGATTTATTCTGTTTTAATCGCGTGTTGCATGTTCCGCACAATAAACCGGAAGTCTCGTGAAGTCGGTACTGCATTTACCTTGGACGCAGTTCGTTTCGATTGTGACAGGCACCTCTCTTAACGTGAACGAATTTAATATCCCTACATTTTTACCGTGAGTACGTAAGGATGCAATAATAACGAGTCATCACCCTGGCGACAAGTGAAAAGGATCACTGCGACTAACCACTCATTTATACCCACGACGGGAGATGCAGCTGAGTGCACGCTGCAATTTCCGTACATTTTTGCGAATATCCACTGTCGAACCAGTTAGTTCATGCATCGATTCTTACGATGGAGATTCGGTAATAAAATTTTTATTTTTGGCAGGAATTAGCCACTTATCAATCAAACTCTCGTCATATTGCTCTCTCTTTCTCTCTCTTTCTCTGTGTGTGTTGAAAATTAATAATTTATAATAAATAATTTTTTAAATATGATTTTATTATAATATCTGATGGCAAATATTGAAAGCTAAATTAAAAATATATACAATATCGTTTTTATAAAAACTCTTATTTTCAAAATTGCCAAAACACGAGAACGCGAATATTGTTAGGAAATATTTTTGTCGACAATTCGAATAACTGCACATTATCATTGAGAGAAAGTAGATTCCGGAGATACGTCTGATTCATTCAAGAATCGGTGGCGACATGTGAGCGTATCGTCTAAAAATATTGCCGGTAGGCCGAGGTGCGCCTAGCAACAGAGGTTGCATAGAAGCATAACTACAGTGAACGTACGCGTGTTTCTACGTCGCGCCGCAACGAGGACACGGAACTCGAAAAAAAAAAGAGCCCGCGGAGATAGACCGCGTTGTGGTCCGCGTAATATCCACAGCAATGGTTTCGGCAATTAACCGCCTCATACATTGTCTCTTAACTTCCATTTAACGTATGACGCGGACGACATTGAAGTGCAGAATTCGATATTTCCGAGAAATTTTTTCCAAAATTTAGGTTTACATTTCAGATTATTTATAACTCTTTAATCTAAATACAAATATCTTTATTATTTTTTATATAAATTTATTTTTAAATAAATATTTTTAATCAAAGTTAATTTTAATGAATGCAAACGCTTATTTTTTGCAAGTCAATCAATTATTATTGCAATATTATTTTCGAATATAATATTGTACTATAGAATCGCAAAATGTGCGCAACATTGCGGCGAGATTTCGATTGGATGTTATCGTAAATTATGATATAATAAAGAAATCGCACGACAATTCGGCGATTGACATGCAAATGAACCATCCAATTAGAGCCGCACAGACTGAAACCGTGGATATTTCGCATACAACGTGCCGAGGCTTTTCGCATCAACAATCTCCAGTCAGTTTGTGTTAATTTACTTGCAAATTTGGTGGCACGAGATGCAGCTTTAGCTTGCACTTTGCAACGTTCGTGTGTGCCGCCTTGGATGTCGATAAACGGTGACAGTTAGAATAATTTTAAGTATTGAAACATGCAACCTTGATATAACGTTGTATCTTTAGTAAAATATGCTCAGTGATTTGGATTTAATAATTTTGAATAAAAAGATCAACGAATTTAAAGAAACTGTAAATTTTTAGAATTTATAATTTTTGCGCTCTCCTTGTGGCAGCCAATGCCATTCGCTTCTTGTTATCATATTGTATTACTATCATATCATTTCCGCAGATATATCAGCTTAACGCACAATGCATAATTTTTCACGGTTGATATGATACGATGTTGTATATTGGCGTTGTGCATTAGACTCTTCGCGCGCGTCTTGTCAGATGAATTCGACCGTTACAACCGCAAAATTGGCCTCTAGGTAGCGACTAAAGGGACGTGAAGGTGAAATAAAATCACTTATTCAGCGAAGCTTCGCGAGCACCTGTTCTGGATTGTCGGGAACAAGCTCCTTTATGCATGTTCAGTCGTGCAGCCGCACCTGCCACAATTTTCCTTGATCGCCGGATTCTGTAAATTTTTTGTACTACTTTGTGGTATAACTAAGAAAGAAGGACGTGTCACTATTAATTCTCTAGATCTTTGTGTTGCAAATTTCGAAAGGTTTTTTTTCTTTTAGCCCGCAAAACATAGTAAAGAAAGATAGAAAGGATGTAGATGTGGTAAAAGTCATTCAGGCGCAGCAGTTTGCAATAAAAGATGGATGTGTAAGTTTTGTGCAGTAATTTGTCATTTCAGCTAAAATATTTTTAAACCAGATGCTCTGAACAATTTTGCACATTTTGCAAATGCAATAGTAGCATTAATTTATAAAATGATTCGGACAAGGAGATGCTAACGGGAAGGGAAAATGACATCTTTTATATAGATAGATCTTTTTTTTAATAAACAATTACGAGCACAATTCACTTATGTTAGTTAATTTTTTAGACTCTCTTATAGTTACAGTTTATATAATTATACATAATATAATATATTGTCGTTACACATATATCATTTTATATCGCGGAGTATCAACTCTGTTAGGCATAATTCACCGGGCATAATTGCATATCTGCTCTCTCCTCCTCTCATTTTATCCTTCATACAGGGACGCATGCTCGTTCACACATCATACATATAAACATACGCACTCACACGCACACGCTGGGTATCGCAAATCCTCGATTTTATTCGTGATTTTTAATTTTACTCTATGACGTGACAATTTGGCAAATGTTCGTCATAATTCCATGCTATCGCATATACATAATCTAATCATATATAAGAATTACACGCTACGTTATGTTTACTGAGATCATACTAATACATCACAGGGTTACATAGATATAAGATTTTTTTCTTTTTTTTTTTCGCTATTTTTTTCTGAGTTTTCTCCACGGTAGGCACCACGCGTCGCGACTTTCTCAGATCTCATGAGATTCCAAGATTTCTCTTTTTTTTTTGTTTTTTTTTTTTTTTTTTTTTGTTTAATTTGGCAATGATGTCGTGAAATATAAAAGTGCGTCTTCACCGGGAAACAGTTTGCGAACAGTTCGCGAGCACCTGAAAAAATTGAACGTGCTGTCCACACCAATGTTCACGTTTTTGGAGAACCAGTTCGTCGAATGTTCGCCGTGGTTCATTCCTAATATTATTATTGCTAATTCACTAATCGCCACAAATACGTCCACACCGATGTGTTTGGTTCGTTGATTTTTGCGAACTGCTCGCAAACAGCAACAAACCAAATAAAAAATAATAATTCGAGGAATTAGGAAATCCAGAGTCAATATAGGTCTTGTGATAAACAAGAAACTTCTTTTTTTCAGGAGTGATAAAAAAAAATTATCTGATGAACTGTCAACGAACAGCTTGCGAGCTGCTCGCGAACAGACGTCCACATAAAAAAGAGAACAGTTTGCGATCTGTTCGTAAACTGTTCGCGAACTTTGGTGAAGACATACCTTTAAAGATCGTTTTATTTAATTTCCGTGATTTTTCAGGTTTATTTAATTTTAATGTGCAATTAGATAAAAAATAATTATTTAACAAAACTTTTATTCAGTAAAAAATATCGGTAAACAAAATATCATTGCCAAATTAAATCCACTTGTTTTATTTTAATGACTGCTGCATTAACGTCGAAATAACGAGGTGCCAGAATTGTCACAAACATTATCAATAATTTAACTGATTCGACTATTATATAAATTTCATAAAATTTTGAATATTTTGTTTTGTGCGGAGGGAAATAAACATTGCGATCAATGCGTATCTTTAAATTTGATTTATGGCTTGCATTTTTCGACGCTTTTCTCCCTCATACTCGATGTGCGGACTTTGAAAAAATAGCTTGTAACCACCAGTCGTATTTTTGGGTTATAATCTCAAAAGGGAAATATGGCGAGCGGAAAAATATCAGGAGGAGCAATACGTGGAAGGGTGTTTTACGAGGACCGCTTCAATGGGATATTAATGAACAGAAAGTTATGTATGATAAACAGCTACCATTATAAGAATCAATTATGAATATCTAATTAGTATGCTAATATTACACTTTATAAATTCGTTGATGAACGAAGTAAACACTCCCTTCAAATTACGATAAAATCCTTATGAAACGCTTAATTTACTCAGTTTCGATGAAATTTGTCAAAAAAGATTGTTCTTCATAATTATTTGTTATTAGTAAAGAAAGGGTTTGCAAGCTATTGTTCTGTAACTTTGGGAATATATTTTCTACATGGACTACTATCGATTAAAGCAAAAAAAATTTTATTAATTTTTTGAACCGGTTACACGAGACTCCCCCCTTAAGCGGTTAAAGTGATTTTAGTGATATCGGTTCTTTTTTAATTTTTATACCATTATAAAAAACAAATATTTTCTTGAAGTAGTATGCACAATTTGTAATATATGACAAAAAAATCAAAAACAATTTTTATGTATTTGGATCCATCTTTATTCAGTAATATATGCACTGCTGTTTTCGACAACCTTTGGACACACAATGTCATTCGGTTTTAATAGTTTAACGTACAGTAACGTACTTGTCTGCCATTTATTGTGAAAATCGCTACAAACTTTTCAAACGACTCAACATTATCATATTGTAATGGAATTAACAAAAGATTAATGCTATTCTGATTAATTCAATATTGTTGTCAGATATATTAGAAGTTAACAGAAAAATCAGAAGTTATCATTTTAAAAAATTTTGAAAAGTTAAATCTCTAAAAATCGTTCAACTAGCTTTATATTTAATTAAACGTAATGTTCGATAATATTAAATGCATGTCAATTTTTGTGTAAATCGTTATATCTGTCTAAACTGATTCATACGCGAAAAATTATAGCATGACTGAAAAGCGTTATCCAAATAAGTTTCAAAGAGAACCTCGCGGCGAAACCAAGCAATTCAATTTCTAACTGAAAGACGCGTTAAACATCTCTCTAAACAAAAAAAAAAACAAAAAACTATTTTAAAATAATGTGAAATGCTCAGATGATTAACAAAATCAAATAAAAATCAGAAGGAGCGTAGAGCCACAATGCAAGTTCTTCGTGCGAAGATTACTGTATTCTCATATAATTATTTTAATTCGTAACGTAAAAAAATTGAGAATATAAAAGAATAAACTAAAGTATGTCTTTCCCATAAAAGCTGTGATTTTATAACCGATCATGTGTCTCTCATATTATCTGCCGGAAACAAACGCGATATGGATAAAAGGGGAAGGGAGAAAGGAGATGAAGGATCTTTTTTTTTCTTTTTTTTTTTAAATAGGTAGAGAAGAAATAATCGCGGAGTGATTTGGCATCGGCTGTACTTCCTTAAAATCGTACAGGAGATCAATGCTTAAACTTGGGTAACGAACTATAGCTAAATTATACGTTTCTCTTCTTCCTTAAAGCTGGTCGCATTCTGGCCACGGAATCACAACCGCTCTGTTGCACTTTTCCTCCTCATATTTTTGCGAAATCACATCCAATTTATCCAGGACATAAATTTATGAAATGTTTTAATTGGCTTTAATATCGAGCGCGTTTCAAGGATGCGACGTCGAAACTGGCGCAATATCTGCTTTTAATGAAGTGTTAAAATTTCCACGATTACTTAGCAAGGAAAATTCATCGCTGAGTATTCGGGGAAAGCAGCAGCCGCAAGTTCCAAAATTCCATGGACCAGCTCAAGCGTCCCGTTCGATTAAATTCAACCAATAGGAGCGATGTACTCTGACGTATATCTCTCTCTCTCTCTTAGAATCTATTCAACTAATCCCTATGAATAGCCTAGAACTTGCGTGTATTTCGTAAATCCTCTCTCTCTTTCCCATACAGTATTTTGTGTAACGACATCGTTTAAGGGCCGATTCAGACATATCCGTGCCGTATCCGTATCGTGAGCGTTCCGTGCACGGATAAAAACATTAAACAATACAATTTGAATGGAGATGTTTACATCCATCCGTGACCGTATCAGTACCGGTCCGTCCTTATCGTTGTGTTTATTGATCCACTCAGGGTTACAATTATTACCACGATTTGGGGATAATTACCAAATATTTTATTTTTTTACTATCGAAATTTGATCACAGTTATCAAAGTTTTGTTGGAGAAACCAAATTTGTAATTGAGTGAATTAAATTTAGATTCTCTGAAATAAATATTTTATTCACTCAATTAATTCTTTTTGTAATTGTTACCAAATATTTACTTAGCACTATTTACCCAAATCATTTAGTAATTGTTATTAAATCCTAGTATCTACTACTAAATCCTTTTTTCAGTGTACGGATATGTATAAATGGACCTTAAGACTTTCAGACATATCCGTGCCGTATCCGTACCGTGAGCGTTCCATGCACGAACAAAAACATTAGACAATACAATTTGAATGGAAATGTTTACATCCATCCGTGATCGTATCTGTGTCCATATGCTGGATTCACACTGCATCCGACGGTACGAAACCGTGCGAAATGCTGTTCACACTGCATACGTTGAATTCAGTAGAATCAAATCCAATCGTAAAGAAAACTTCCTGATTTTACACGATTTACATCAATTTATATGATTTATAATTTATATATCAGTGACAAATGAACTTTATAATACATCAAGATGAATAAGATATACCATCTTTTCCCAATTTTGTCCAGATTGCCCTTTATGCGATGCGTTATCGTCACGACAAATGTTGAGTCATGACCAACATTTCGTCCGACGTCGGACGATGACAATGCGGTCCGATGAAACGAAGCAAAAATCCTGCTTTCTGATTAGTTGCGGTAGAGCGTCGTACGACGCACGCCGGATGCAGTGTGAATCCAGCAATCCGCTCGCCGTGATCGGCGACGATATTTTCACGGATACGGACAGCACGGTACGATACTTCGCTGTCATGTCTGAACCAGCGTTACCAATTCTCGGCTTTCCACGCACACAATCGAGGATGTTTATGTGTTGCGCAGAACGCTCAGACTCTGAACATGTTTCCGAGATAAATGACTGTACGGTTGGAAATATATCAACTCTCTATATAAAGTGGCAAGTTCACCTTTTTTTTCCGCGTACGACAGATATCGTGCACCCACTTTCGCTTTCCACAAGTTTGTGCATCTTCATCTAAAAGCAATGCAATTACTGCAAGTTCTTCAAATTTGCAATTCATCTCTTCTCTCTGGCTCAAGGCCTACTGACGAATTCATTACGGAGACAAAACAAAATAGCTAATATCACGGCTACGATGCGGCTAGCATACGGACATGTGTGAACAAGCGTCACTGACGGCGCGGGCACGGCACGGATATGTCTGAATCGGCCTTTTTTTCTATGAATGTTTTTTTTTCTCGAAAATAAACGAAGAATATATTACATTAATTAATTTGGACACAAATCATTATCTACAATCTAATTTTATTTTTCTTAGCATTGCTTAGCCTATCTTAATACAAAAGAAAGATGTGAGATGTTTTATGTAATAAAAAAAATAGCGACGAGAGTTATTCTTTCTTTCTCTCTTCTTTCACTATCGAGTGTCACTCAATTTCCTTTTATCTCTCTATTTATGTCTTATCTCACGCTTTTCCTTATTGTTGCTATTGCTCTCGTAATCCTCGCGACATTACAAAGCGGTATTACACGAAGATTTACGTGATGAAGAATAACCCTACTTTCTTTCTCTCTTTTTTTTTTCTTTTTTTCTTTTTTTTTATTAACTTGTCTCGATCTGTTTCGCCTGCGCTCGTGGCAGATAAAACTACGTGAATGGCACAGCCAACGCGGACCTCGCGCGCCTCTTGCCAGGGTCCCTCCTACCCTCCTTTCTCCGCTGTTCCCTCCTGGTGATGCAGATTCCCGCTTCCGGTATTGTCTCACGTACGGAAAGGTTCCATGAGGTGGAAGAAGACGGCGAGGCTTGAACGAGGAAACCGAAGGTTCTTAGCTGCGTATCTGACCCGCGTTGCGGGTGATCTTCTCCGGCGGCTCTATCATGCTCTTTGTGGTGCCGTTCAGACCGCGCTTACGACTCTTCATATAGTCTGGAATAGACAATTAAAAAAATGTATCTTTAATAATGTAAATAATATAAATTGGTGCGATAAACTCGTCGGAAAAATAGAACCTTGCGGTCAAAAGAATACGAAAGAGAAGCTCCGTTGTTTGAATAACATCAAATTCCAAGTTTTGAGAAAATTGAAAAAATTGCGCATTTTTATGTAAATAGGAAGTTTATTAATAGGATGTTTTGTAATTTGTCCGTATTCGAAAATAATTATTATTTCCTACAAATTTTATCACTATAATTTTTTGTTACAATTTTATTTGAATAATGTTTTATATAATTATATTTATCAATACGTAACGCATCTGGAACTTGCTAATGTATCTCGAAAGGCATCTGGCAAATAACACAAGTGATCTCGCGACTTTTATCTTCAATTCCGATTTCTTATACTCGCATGCAATGTCACACTTGACCTTATGCACAATCTGGCTTACTAACGGCCGTATGCATGCGAAATCTTTTCTGCGATAACCTTGAGAATATAATATCGACGCACCATACTCGCTAATTATATCAGCGGAAGATAAGAGCGTAAGGTTAGGATTTTATATTGTTTTTATTATTCGCTCTAACGCAGTTGCAATTTCCAAACAGATAGATATTTTCATCACCACAAAACGAGTATTAAATTATGTCCATAAAATCTTCTCGTATCGCGTAAAAAAATTTAAAAAAATTAAAAAAAAAAAAAAATGCTTAATAATAAATTAAACAATTTAAATTTTTGACTGTATAAAATTCGAGAATTTATACAGTCATAAGTTACGTAAAAGTTTATACGACTCAGTAAGATTTAAATAAAATTAAGAAAAGTATGATCGTGCCGACGTAAACTCGTGACTCATAAATCGATACGCTAGTACGATATTGAACCCCTAAAATACAAAGGCACTCCCGGACCCCTTTGGAATACCATTTGGCAAAGTTTCCACGGTGATATTAGGTACATCTGTCCAATTTTCTATTCGACCCCCTCCCCGAACTCGTGCTTTTTTAGGGTCGTCTGCCGAGCCACGTGACAAAAATTACGAAAATCACACGAACCATCTCCACTTCGGCGCCCCCATGACTATCCGTAAAGCAAAATACGTTACGAACTCGTTACTCCCCCGAACGAAGCAGGGGAGGGACATTTTCGTTATTTCAAAAAAAATCAATTATTTTTACGAATTACTTCATACAATACTTCAATTTATTACGCGTATATTTTTATATGTTTATTATTTTATTTTTTCCATATTATAATTTTTTTCAAAATTTAGAAGTTTATATATTTCTTAAACAAGAAGTAAATTAAAAATATTTTATTACGTGAAACTTTCCAAAGATACAAAAATTATTGCTAAATTAAAAAATCGACAGAGAATTTTACAATTATTTTTACGTGCGATGCTTCACTCCCCAATTTAAATGGCCGAGACGAGATATGCGGGCGCTAATCCTGATTTTAAATGCCGACCCCTTCGCAACGATCTGTCTGCCAACCCCTGGGGGTTCGCAGACAAGGGCGCGCGATTGCCTGCACAGCTGATGCCCCCCACGCGTACAAACGCTCGGCGTACACGCGTCACGCGGAGCACAAAGGGCCCGAAGAGGGGATGACTGGAAGGGCATGGGGGTGCACTTTGGGCCAGCAACCCCATATGGATTTCAACAGCTGACCGCGCGGCTCATTAATAAAGTACGTTAGAAATATCGTTCGGCGCCCCCATAACTGTATCCGTAAAGCAAAATACGTTACGAACTCGTTACTCCCCCGAACGAAGGAGGGGAGGGAATTAAGTAGCGCAGATAGGAAACCCAATCGGCTTCCCATCCATTTACAATGTCCCGGAAGTCGCGCACTTCCTCTCGAACAGATAACAAAAAAAAAAAAACAGATAGAAAAAGAAAACAAAAAGATTAAAGAAGTTACCACTTGAAAAATTGAAAAACTGAAAAAAATATATTGCCGTTGTATTTTGAAGATTTTGAATTAACATTAGTTAATTAGTTTCATTATTAGTTTAGTTATATTTATAAAAAAATTGAATAAAGTACAAAGTACTCACGATAATATAAATATTACAAGGAATCGATATAAATAATTTTCCGTTAATTTACAGTGAACCCCGTGTAGTTTCACTTTTCGCAATATAAAAATATAAACAAAGGCGTCGCGTGCTAGCGCGATGTGAAATGTGTTTATACGCATGTGTACATGCGTGCGCGACATATGACGAGTCACGTCCAGAAATAGTGGCATCGCGTGGGTGGTGTATATGGCCGAATAATAAATAGGCGAAAAAGGGGAGGACAAGATGGTTGTGTTGCAACACACGAATGTGATGCACAAAAGCCGAAACTTCGTCAAAATATTCGAAACCACGCAAACCTTTTCAATAATTTAAAATGGAAATAGGTTTCTTTTGTTATGATGAATCAACGTGCTCCCTCACGTGCTACTTTCCGCTTTCTTATTTTTCTGCGTCTGAATTCAATCTTTGTAATTATAAAAAATTATTAAATCAATATTATTCTGAATTTATTTACATAATAATCTGACACTATACATGTTTTCAAATCTTGTAATTTTATTGAAATTGTGAGCAATAGTATTTGACTGCAGAAATCGAATACGGTGGTTATATATATATATATATATATATATATATATATATAATTCAGATTACAATTGCATATTTGTTATTATTTTTTTTTTATATAAATCGACATTGATGCTTATCACATTGTCACTCGATTGACTCAATCTCTTCTCATCTTCGCACAATCAATTAATCCTTATCAAATTTCCAAACAAAAAGAACAGTGATTAAATTCGAATTTGGCATTGCAAATCGTTAATGATACACATCGCTCGCGCGTAAATATATAAAACAGTAATGATAATGCACGCGAAAATGATATGCATACGTACATGAAATCGTGTATAATTAGGTTGAGTCAGTTTTTATCCGTTTCGAGCAGACTTCCTTGCAAATATTGTTGCAAGCGCATGCTTGTGATATTTCTCTCAACAAATATGAAGTGCTGGGATCTTAAAAGTAGCACAAGGCAAAATTTAGAGAATTTATTTCGAAATGTCCAGTGAAAGAAATTGAAATATCGCAGAGACGTCACACGAATTTACAACGCCTTTGTCCATCTCGCATATTTTATCTCCAAAATTGAGCTTGCGCCATGTCAATGTAAACATATAACGCGATACGGTTCATATAATGTAATATTATTTTTATTGCGTCATCGTTTACGGCGCAGACGGCGAATGATTTCGTTTATCCGCGAATAAAAAAAAAAAAAAAGAAAAAAAAGAAAAAAAAAGAAAGAAAAGGAAATGTTTACTGTCAACATCTCTTATTTCAGCGTTATCATGGCACGCGATAATGCAGTTCCGATAATCCACCTTGTCTCGTCAGTAGAATTAATTTTATTGACTTGTATTATCAAAGAAGGAAAAAATGCTCTACATAACCATGCGCTAAAAATTATATAGATTACAAGAAAAGAGAATACTAAATATCGTAGAAACAAATTTAGAGATTAATTTGAGCAAATACTGATTTATCTATTGCTGTACTACATACAATGCGATGTGATGAATAATATACATTTTGAAAAAATTTTTTAACAAAACTACCGTATTAATTCTATTCTGTTATAGTCTATTTTCGCAGCAATACATTCATATGTGAAAGTAGCCAGCAGAAAATAGCACTGATAACATTTTGAAATATACGGGCGACGCGACGCAAGTGCAATTTGTTCTTTTTATCAATTGCTTACGCAATTACACATGAATTGCGGTGACCCTTCAAAAGACGAATTGGATTGACCTAGGCTATGTGGATGCTTTGCATAAATACCTCGAACAAGTCAACCACGATAAATTCCACCCGAAAAATTCGATGTATTCTTGATCTCTTAATCATATACATATATAATGCAAAATTTTGATTCTGTTGGTAGAAAATAAAGATTTGCATTTTTTCGAAATATTTCGTAGAACTTTCGAATGATAAAATAACTTCCGTACAATATGATATTATTATCTTTATTTATATAATTTGTTATTATCTTCTTTTTAATAATGTTTCCGCAGATTAGATTTAAAACTATTTCTAGAGAGCAAATAATTCGCGGACTTTTACAAAGTACTAGCGGAGAAACTAATTCTTTTTCTAATATTATTCTGCACAAGAGGGATAATAATTGATTGAAGTGAACACAGACGGATAATGCGATATTTGACGCGTGTGAATGGAGTCCGATGCGAAAACAATGCAAATCACTTCCTGTCTATCGATTAACGCACCTTTCTTGCATATGCAATGCAGGTGTAAACAAACTTTATCGCTTCTTGCCTCTGCGCGGCACATACGCGTGATGAGTTACGAGCAGATTAGAGAGGTGCGAAAAATGAAGATACGTCGTGCAATCGAGCGAAACGCATCGCGTTTTGCCGTGAACTGCAACACGCGTTGACTTTATCAGGATAATCTGCAGCCGCCAATCTTGCGAATCGTCCTCACTGATAACGACAGAATATGCGAGCGTGGCCAAACAATGCCGAAAACAAACATCATCCGGCTGCATTTATACAATCGGCCAAAAAAATCATCCGAAAACGATAAGCGTTTCGCGCGCCATAAATAGTTTTATCAGCAATCCCGCGTGTATCAAGACTTTTTTTCCCCCGAAAACGCTTCACAACACCGAGATCAAAGCGCCGAATAGAATTGTAGCGGTTCAAGCGTCGCGAATTGTCGGAAGTTGAACGAAGAGATACGCAATTGCCGAAAACAGCGGAAAGTTTAACATAAACAATTCGTCACGCGAATATCGGACTTTATCTAGCGGTGAAAATAAATATACAAGACTCACCGGTGATCACGGGTTGTTTTCTCGCGGCATGGGGTAGTACAGGGGTAGTCGACTCTATGACGCATCTCTTTCTCTTGACGTTCGCATCCAGGAGCCGATTGGGCGTCGTGGTGTCACCGATTTCGGGCACTCTGGGCTCCTGCGGCGGCGTTCTTTCGGCCGTCGGCGCGGCGTCACTGGTCTCCATTTGCTCGTTGATTCTCGTGGTCATTGTCGTTGTCGTCGTCGTGGAAATCATCGACGTCGTCAGCGACGTCGCTATCGTCGTCGTGGCGGCAGTCGACTCATCATCGGCGCGCAATTTCCGCGGCGTACCAGGCGCGTGTTTTCTCAGATAGGGCATGCCACGCAGGGCGTAGGGTTCCGGGACGATATCGTGCTCCGTCATCAGCTCCCATTCGTAGCGCGAATTCGCCTTCGGCACCTCTAGGCGAAAGTCGAAGCCCCATCGCTCGGCGTCGAGCACCGATTGAGCACGCAATTCGCGCTCGGCGAGCGCACGAGCCGCCGCGTGGTCCACCGGTCCGAAAAGATCGCGCCGCACGCGGGCAAGCGCGGCCCTGCTCGGCACCGCTCGTCCGCCACCGCCACCGCCGCTGCCGCCTAGGTTCCTGCTTATTTCCGTCATCATCACCGGGTTCAGCACTCGTGCGCTCATATTTTGTCGCGCTCCGTCGGCGCCGCACTCCACAACGGCAAACGCACACCCGCTGTTTTTCTCACGCCAGATTGCGGAAACAAATAATAGAAAGGTCCGGTGGAAGAGATAAAAACACACACACGCACGCACGCACACACTGTCTCTTCTTATCCTTATTTTCTCTGTCCCTTGCTTCCACCTTCTCACGTCTGACACTCTGTCTCTCTTTCACCGTACTATCGAGACGTCGCAATACGTTGTACGTGATAAAAGATCGTCTCTTTTAGTATTGGCCGTGACGCGGGGATGGCGATGACTCTTTCCAGGAATCGCGTCCCCGCTGCCGTCGTCGTCGCGAGACGTTGAAATAATCGCGGCTACGTACCGCGGACAGAATGTGGCAACACTGTAATCCGTGGCGCGACCCACCGAATTTCGAATAATGGCCGCGTTGCTGCTTAGCGTTGAGCAAGGCTCTGCTTCGTCCTCGAACTCGCAGACTCGTCGACGTCGCGCGACGCACGTCAAGGATGACGTTCGTCAAGGTGGATAACGACGATGACGATAATACTGGGGTCCGTTTTCGCCGTGGAAAGCGGGGATCATAGAGCGACGCATGCACAACGAACAGCAGCCGCGCTTGGCAACACAGCGGGCACGGTTACTATGTGCCAGACAGAGATAGCGGCGGCGAAAACAAACTCCCCCTCGCGCGCGCGATTCCGCTGCACCGCAACGCGTTATCCGTCAAGGCCACCGCGGAGACGACTCCTCCCGCGAAGACGCGAAAAAATACACGCACGCAGTCACACTTATTGATACTCCTCTCAGCTTAACTCTCCTCGCGACACGACGATTCCCTCGGCGTAGCCTGAAGGAATGACGATCCGGCAACGTCGCGCGGCCGCACTTGCGCGTGAGATCCGAGCGACGGCGAGAGAGCGTGTTACGTGTCCCGCGCAAATTTCGTGGTCCACCGTCCCGATCGTCTGTGACGCGAGCTGATTTCTCTCACTTTCCTCTTCCCCTCTTTCTCTCGCTTACTGTCTCACACTCGCGCACGACAATGCACTGACGCGCACATTCTAGCCGTGATAACGCAGTCCGTTGTCTCGGTGCGAGAAAATTCCATAGAAAAACGCTATTGCACACGGCCCGCAGCAATATGCTGATCCGCGGTGGGGGAAATCACCGAGTCGCCTTTGACACCGCGTAAATAACCACGAAAATACACGCTTCGCGCCGTTTCCCGCCAAACACGCGACTGTCAAGGCACGCGCATGGCCCACCGGGGCTAGAAGGACGTGCGGGCACGATTGCGCAGTTACGTGATGCCGAACACCGACGATACGTGTGTGATCTGCGGCTCGCGGAGTTGCGCAAAGGCGCGTAGTAACCACGAAAAGCGCTCTCTAGCGACTGAAAGGCAGTTGTTCAATTGCGAGCGACCAAGCCTTCCGCGAGCTCGGGATTCTCCGCCACGATTCGGTCGTTCAGTTCGGCTCGACGATTCCCCTTCACCCCTTTCCTCGTACTCCCCACGAGGGCAATCACGCGGCGAGCGGAGGAACGAAATAACCGCCATTCGCAACGTATAGTCCCCTCGACGTGACTGCGAGTACGGTCAGACTTGGCGGAGCGTGTGCGGAAAGATTGTACAGTTATCGGCCCCTGCTATGGGAACACGACCAGGCAGAATGCCGATCGCAACCTCTGGCCGCAACCTCAAACCTCTTCTATGTTCCAGGTTTTCCAGACTCGAAGGACGAGGTCTGCAAAGTTGACTTGTTAGGTTAGATTTTTAACGAGATTGGAATATTGTGACGAGAGAGAAACGAGAGATATGATTATTCTATCGATAAATAAATATTTCAGCTTCTGGCTTTCCTTTGTAAAGACTCGTGGGCAATTTTTCGTCATGGAAATGTTTCTTATAAATTTCTCCGTTATTTTAATATCCCATAATAAAATTCTTATCACGGTCTTTCCTGTATTTATGACTTTTTAGTCGTGATGATGTTATTAAGGAGACCCAGTGCACAGGGTCGCGATCGAAAATGTCGTCGGACATGTTAAATTAATTTAATTGTGTCCTTAATTCGTCACTTTAATTGTCCTTCACGCGCTCGTGCTTACGGATGGCAACTGCGAAAAGAGAACGGCTCGTCCCCGATTAACGCGGGAAGGGTCACACGGTGGGGGAGAAATAAATAAGTCCAGTCTCCAAAACAACGTGCACGCAATCTTATCGCGTGCGTATATTCGGTGGATTTTCATGTTTGCACGACGCGTTACGCACGGTAAACTTATTTGCATACGCTCGGATTATCGCCGTTTTATACAGCGCGATAGACTCCGCTCGTAATCCGAATGTTATATTGAGTTAGACCGCTTAAAAATACCGAAATGTTATCTTAATGATTTAAATTTTTCTGATGCAGCAGGAAGTATACAAATATATCTCCAGTTCCAGAGATTCACTGAAGGAATATTTGATTAAAAGAATATATATCGTAAAATGTGCAATTTGACATGTCAATACATTTATGCAGTGTTAAATATAACTGGTCTTACTATCGATTCATTCGCTCTTGATTCGCATTTTAAATTGCTAGCGTCAATCTTAAAGTCTTAATTTTAAATCTATTTCAAATCTAATATATTCAGTAGTGAACATATTAAGCAGCTTCTTGAAGCAGTTCGACTAGTGGGAATTAATTCGAAAAAAGAATTGTCGAATGTTTTAATTCATCAAATCGTGCACGAAGTTTTCTATCGTCGCCTATATTTGACGCTGCTCACAAAGTTACAGCGCTCCGTGATGATTGAACGCGCGTAGCAGCGCCGAGTGCGATGACACAAAATCAACGGGACGAATCGAGACTTTTCATTGATAATTGTCAATTTACTTCGTTGGGCTCGTCTCGCACGCGGCACGCGAGGGGACCTACGGGAAACAGCTCCGCGCGCTCGCAGACGGCGGCGAAACTCACGGCGAGCGAAGCGTAGATAAACGATCCCAGGATCCAATTGGAGAGCATGTTTGCCACGCGGCGTTCAACCGTGTTGGTGTGCGCTGGTCGGGTTCGCTATAACGTGGCGCGAGTATTTCGAATATTCGATCGAGGCTGTTATCGCTTCCTACGCGGAATCTCAATGCGAGATGCATTTAAACGCATCGAGAAATGTCCATCAAATTTTTATGTTTTACTTTCAAAAGTCTATATTTATAAAACATTACTTTATCAATTTAACTTTCGAAAGTGGCATGAATTTAATTTTTGGTAACATATTAACGATTGTTCTTAATTGCGATTCTGGGTGAGGGACGTTACGACGCGTTAAGAAAAAATTCTGGTGCCGGTGCAAAATTGCGCTCTGAGAAACAAAAATCCCACGCAGCATCCAGGAAGTGGTGAGGGGTGGCACCGGATGCATTTCAATAAGGGGAGACGGGTGAGCGAGTTCGCGTAAAACAATTCTTTCTGCGTTTCGCAGAGAGACCATCGTCTCTCATTCATTCCACCGCAGGAGTGCATTTCAGGGAGGTGTCTGGTTGCACAGGTTGCGCTTTGTAACTCGTAATAAAGCGGGGCATCTACCGTCTACTTCCTGCGATATTTATTACAAAATACGACAGGTTTATCAACGGATTTACGTCGAACAATTGAGGAAACTCATATTATTCGAATCAGATCGCGATGTAACATGCAATAATTGCGTAACTTTGTTATGTTTTTGCACTGTGTTCGTTTTGCAATTTTAAATATAATTGTTGATGAAACGTTTGAAATTCTACCTGTATGCTATTGGATACAGCTATTGACAAAACTTTTACTCGTGCAAACCTCAACATTACACGTATCGTTGTGCAAATGATTAGTGACGATTAAAAAAAGAAATAAATATCTCTCTCGCTTCATGGACGGTGTATATCGCGCGTGTATTTGTACGACGGCCAGATTATTTTCAAAGGAAGCGGGTGTTTATTCGCGGGCGAGGCGCGCGACCGGAAGACGCATAGTCGCATCTGCATCGCGTGTTTATCACCGAAAGACTCACCTGTTTCATCATTTCGCTATCAAAGCCGGGCTTACCTGAAGCTGGCGCGGCGTTATCTCATCGCGTGCTGGCGGCAATGGGGACAAAGCTGCAACCGCGATAAATCACTTTTATCGAGCTCAAGGTGGTGAATCGAGATCGAGGTTGAGAACGGGTGCACTGTTTCGCAAAGACGCGAGAAAGCTTACACATTTTCTTCCAAGACACATTGGAAACCGGCCGAATAAAAATTTCACGACGGTGCTAAATCAGTCGGTTTGTAAGCGGTCTCGAAAAATAATTTAAAACTCGAAATCGGTTAAATCTGAGTTAATTTTTATTAATTGTTTGTAGAAATCTTTTATATTCAATTTTTTATGGCTACTTAAATATATTGACGATGCAAAGCACGAAGCTTTTTCGAGCAGCTGACATTACGATTCGTTCGCATTCGCAGAAGGTTCTTTATCGGAAGGATTCTCAATGCTCAGTCAGAACAATATGCGTGTGGTAAACGTCGTGCGGCAATATCCTTTGTCGCCGTCGCGATTGTGCCCACTTCCGTGGGAATTCGCGGAACGGAAGTGCAATTTCTGCCGAGCACCGTCGTGGCCAGCTTCCACTGTGGAGCAGCGCGAAAGAATGCGATCCTTAAAGAAGCGAGGAACCAGGTGCAGCTCTCTCGCGTCTTCTCACGATAGATATACCGATTTAATCAATGAAATCGTGATACTCGTGGTATCAGCTCTCGGACGGCGAGTGTTTTATCGACGACGGAAAAAATACAATTTATAAGAAACGATTATTCGCATTAAAAGAGTCAGCAGCGATAAAACGATTTCCGCATTCCGATAACATAAAAGAAGAAACATTTATACCGTTAAAAAAATATTACACCGACTCTTCAGCTCTCTACGTTAAGAATGATGCTTAGTGACAAATGTTACAGAATGCTTACTCGATGTAGACAGATGTTTTATCTTGGTGCGGTATAAATTAGGTCGAGCGTAACTTACGTATAACGAGCCGCAGTAAACACAAGCGACGTAATTCCAAGCGCACACTCTGTTCCCTGTTCTGCGTTACGCATGTTTATAAAAATTAACAAAGGCAAAAGAAAGTAGAAAGTAGATCAAAACACACAGCTTTTTTATAAATATTATATAAGTATATTTTTTATTCATTTTTCAGCTACTCATTTATATAATTATATTAAAAAATGTAATTACATTTTGTTACATAAATATCAATTGATTATAATCACGTGTATTGCACGGTTTGTTCCCAATAGTAAGTTACATGTGATGACTTAAAATTAATATACAGTAGATTAAATAAATAACAAATTACGCATGATTTAATTAATTTTTACAAATTTCAACAGATATCAGAAAAAAATTCCTTTGGTTTCTTTTAAACGTGTTTTGTTATATTTCTTTTGACTAGAATTTATACAATAAATAATCTTGTGTAAATTTATTGTTTAAACAATACTTTACTTTAAATAATTACTTTATTATTTTAATAATAAACTTTAAACACTAAATTGCCAATGTTGAAACCGTATTTATCACAAATTGCTCATAGAATTTTGGAGTCATCGTTCTCAGTAATAGTATAAAAATTGGACCAAAATTTTTTAAAACATTATCTTGATAATTTTTATCATTAGAATACGTGTCGTCAATTTTACGATAAAAAATTTTTGCATTTTTTTTTGTACGAGGAAAAATCTTTGTCATTATTAATCTTGCTACAGATAATATCAATCGCTTATTTGATTATCTTATCTTCACACACGTTCGACTATCAATTTGCTACTCTGGCTTCATTAGTTTCTTCTGTACCGTTTTGTGCTTCCTCCGCATTTTCTCCCTGTGGATTCTGTATCTGATTATTTGACTGGATAGAAGATTCTGTTCCATCTTCGCTCACTTTTTCCCATTCGTAACGACCAGTTAGCGGTTCTCCCTTTTCAAAGTCAAAATTCCATCTTTCTTTGCTCTACGCAACAAGTACTTCAACGTTAAATTACCTTAATTAATCTAATTTCACGTAAAAAATTATTTTATTGAAATCTTATTATCTTATATACTTAATACAAAATAATTTGTATGAACATTCTTGATTACTCAAATTTAACTTATTTTTTCCTTACTTTTTCTCTTTCTCTTTGAATTTCTTCCTCTGACGAAAGATGATTAGTAATGTTATTTTGTTCAACTTCGTTGTCATCGTCGTTGAAGAGTCTTCTACGCACGCGATCTTGATCGCGGAATCGAATGGCTTCCAGATCGATATTCCTTTCTTCCATCGTCAGACGGGCTCTTATTGTAAAAGAAGTTAGATTTTTAATAACAAAAGACTTTAATTTTTTAATTTATTTAAAGATATCGGAAATTTTGTATTGAAAAATTCAAGTTTAATTTTTTTATTAATTTTTATCGATTTTACACTTTATCACTTTTTTTTATAGAAGAAAATAATATTATCTCACGCATGGATAGTTCTTATGACACATAATTTTTTTTACAATGTCATATAAAAATAAGTAACTGTAAATCTAATATTGTATTACAAATATGCAATTACCTTTTGATTATAATTTTCTTACATGTAATTCTTATGTTATTAAAAATTAAAAAAAAATTATTTCTATGTATAGTAAAATACTAAAAAAACATGCTATAATTTATTACTTTTTTTTATACAATTAAAGTTAAAAAAATGGATATGTACATACTTTTTTAACTTATTCTAAATAGTTAAATTTTGAATAAATTTTTTCTTGTAAGAGAATTTGTCAACAAGTTTACACTTTCTAGCAAACTGATTACTTCACTTGCCTATGATCTCCTACCGGTTATGACCTTACCATTGGATAGAATAGGTAAATTCGCTGATAAATTCTGCGATGTAAATATTTATAAGAAAGTTTGGAAACAGGTTTGGAATAATTCCATTTGTCGCCGATGATGATATATCGATCGATAGTTTAAAGTATCGGAAAAGGAGTTGTTTGTTGTTTAGTAGCAATAGAGCTTATTTTTATTTTGACTGCTGACATTTCCAGGAAAGTTGTGTCACAGCTCTAAAGAGTTAATACTTCTGCGTAAAGCTGCATAATTACCAGGAAAGTTTGCGATGCAGAATGATGACGATATACGGCAGTATACGATATTAATCGTCAAACCGATCGCGGCGAATTACGAGCGTGACACTTTACGTTTTATAAATAAGATGGTAAGCATCGAGAGGCGAGGCTTCGCGCGCACGACAAGGCTTTGTGTATGCGACCGTGATAGAAGGAGAGAAGAGACCTGTCGCATTGTCGGCCAATGTGCCGTTGGACGGATGATTGGAATGCATCACACTTCCGGCACATACGATTGCGGACTCATACCGAACGGTTTGTTGCTTGCACGCGCATCCTTCTTGGGAGTCTCTTGACATCGCTATGTAAATATTTTGTATAGCGAAGATTTTACAGCTGCGCATATTATAGTTTACGCATGAATAATTTATTCTCGAGACGTTTAACATTGTAAGAAAAATATGCACGAGAATTCGTACACTGTACTGTACAAAAATTCACGATATAAAAGAGGAGTGCGCGTTAATCTTCTAATTTACGTTTACGCCGCGTAAAAGATAATTTTGCAAGTTCCGCCTTACAAGATTTCTTGGCACGCGTTCTTAATAAACGCAGAGATGCGCCTCTTAAGGGCCAGTAAGAATCAAACAGATCCCTAAAGTTACACCAGAGCCGAAGTTAAGATTTTTCTTTACGTCCCCTTAATGATGCCGCGCTTTTTATGCACGCTCGTTAACACGAGGTGGTTTGATTGGCCGGCTTTCGCCGCAAGCATTAACGAACGAATTCCGCGTTATTCGTGTAATTACTACGCATGTATAAGATGATGCAGGTGGTACAGTCAAGTGCATTAATTCTGCTGGTTACACGTAAACGACGAGCAGAGCCGCGCAGTACAGCAGCATCTCTCTTTCTCTCCCTCTCCTTCTCTCTCTTTCTTTCCTGCTCTCTCCGCTGGGCAGGTTAATGCACTCGAACGTACGGACTTTCCTCTTCCGACATTTTGGCCATACTTACGCGTACCTACGTGGATCGGGAAGATAAATGGATGCTGTGCGCGGTCCATGGAGCAAGGGTGCGAGATGAGTCACGAAAGAGACGAGCAAAAACGAATGCGCATTGTCGAAATCACTCGAATGGCGTCATGCCGCGTTTGCGATCACCTGATTCGGCATAATATATCGCCGCGTCGTATTAACTCGAAAATCGCAATCGCCCGAGAACAGTTCTTTTTTTCTCCGTCACGTACTTTTTTTTTTTGCAACAATCCAATTATCGTGGATTTATCGCTGGCATAAATAATGCGCGCCGTTTATTTGGTCGTCTAAAGCTGACAACGGCGATTTATTTGGAGCACTATATGCCTGCCCAGCGGACCGAACTGCCGTACTGCACAAGTACTCCTCCGAAATGATATCTCAAAGCGTGAGCCATTACTTATTTGCTTTATTTATGAACTTCGATATGATATATTCGCTAATTCAAGATATTTTTTTCGAAATTTTTGTCAATTTTTACAAAAACGTAGAAAAAATCATTCCGACAATATTATGTTTCACTGGCTTTTTGATTTGAGATTTCAGTATTGTAGATAATTATTCGTTATGCATTCCGCTTATATGCTCGTCTGTGAAACAAGTAACACAGGTTCGTACGAAGCTGTGCGCCTTTCCTTGACCCACTTACTCGTTCGTATTCCGAACTATTCCGAACAAATATCAGATTGCATATTCAATTTCTTCGTATTGTCGTATTATCACGTGTCAATACACCGCGTGCAAATATTAGAATTTGTCCCATTGCACCACGACGCCAGTCGACTTCAAATTGAGCAATCAAGGAGTTCGAGGGAGGAGGAAATGCGTGGGTTGTGAAGTATCCTGCATATATAGATGCTGCAGTTAACATTTCTGGTATAACTTTATCACAGCTCTTGCAATTTTTATCTTCCATATTGTAGGTTATATTAACCTTGTCAATACTGTGTTAGAGCTACGTCAGATACACTGATTGTATATTTATGAGAAGAAAGATGATAAAGTATGTAGAAGTAATTAAGGAAGCGAATGAAATTACTTTGGCCACCCATTGAGATAAATCCAGCTCAATTTGTCTTAACGTTCATTTACTCACTTCTCCGAGATGTCTTTCATCTGGCCTTTCGCGACGTGCGTGTCCGAACGACGGTGGGATACGACTTATCTGCTATCAATTACACGGACTTCGATCGAGATTTCGTTGCACTCCGTAATTGCATACGCTGCATTTATCTCATCTTTGCACGTGCGTCTCGTCTTTCCATTTCACGTCAGCCGCTTGGCTATTGCCGCCTGGTGCAGTTATGTCAGATCGATAAGCACATTTTCGTCGGGGGTGTAGAACTCGATGGGGTAGTGTTGTGCGCGCGCACACCCTGTGGCGAGGGTTCAATTGTGCGCATTCGCACGGTTTCGATATGCTATTCTCGACAGCACAGTACAATCTCGATTGTCGAAATTAATTGGACAAAAATTAACTCGAGATAGTCGAATTGTGTAGATTAATGAATAATTATGTAATAACAAGAAGAAAGCAATTTGTAGTATAGTGTTTGAGATCAAAATCAAGAAATTCAGAACTTTTTAATCCTTGGTTGTTTTTCGGATTTATTTTAAAAGAATGTCATTTTTTAACAGTACAAATTTGCTCTTTAAAGAGGCTGAGTTAAATTTATCAAAAAGATTTTGCATGTAAAAAATAAATATTTACAGCTTCTTTTTCAATTTCTTCACTAATTGCTTGAACATGACTTATCTAAATTGTTAATGTCAAAACATGTAGATTATTTTATCTACCGGCAATTGCAATGGCACGTGAAATGCGTGAGATAACATAAACTAATAAATCATAAAGATTCGAATTACCTCGAGTAAGACAATTTTCTTCACGGCGCAAAACGAGAACAATCGTTGACGAGTCGAATTGGAACCCGCGCTGTATCATCCGAGAGATTCGGACTGTAACTAATCTTATGGCGAGACTACACTCGCCTGCATCTCAACTGCAACTGCAACTAGGCATAGATTTGCGTAGTTCTCCGCGGACAAGTACAACTAGTGCACGAACGCATGCGCGTGCAACAATCCGTTATTCGCCGTCATTTATCCCGACATGCAGATGAATAATAGCTATTTTCGTATGAAAATATCGCCCGATGTATCGTAAATATCATTGCATTCGCTAGGCGGGAAGGAAGGAGAAAGGAGGGGAAAAGGAGATTAAGCAAGAAGCTTGTATTGTCCTCTCCAAAAGACACGATGGGAATTATCGTGTCTCTTTATTCTCGGTGCATGAGAGATGCGTATTTCCATTCTAGTTATATCTTCTTTCGTGGAATTAGAAGGAAATGAATGGGTGCAGACCAGTGATGCCATTTCGAGCTCTCCGAGCACCATACGTATACACCGAAAAACGTACATGTGTTGCGCAGAACGCTTTGCGCAGCACATTACGCGGTTTTTCGATGTATGTTCGGAACTCGAAATGGCATCGCTGGTGCTGACAGAAATAAATGGGAAACTAATTAATGATGAAGCACATTTGCATGAGGCGCGATAGCGTTTAATTGATATGACAGCGTTTTAATTAATAACGTCGCGCCGTTATCGGCGCTCAAGGTTACAGTTTTCCGAGAAGCGCCTGATGGATTGCATTTATGATCAACGAAGGGAGTAACGTGATCGGCTCATAAATCCGATAAGTGTATGTCGATTGTGTATAATGTGAAGATTATTCCGATTCATATCTTATTGAAACGTAGTTTGCCGTGATAAGATGCGTAATTGAGAGAAACTTGCGTTGCTTCATGATAATTGACCTTACTGCAGTTCAATCAAAACAGAACGAAAAATCGCCTATTAAGCTAATATCCTACTATCTGCGTAGTGACTTGTTTGTAAATAAAACTTACCAAGAAAGAGAGAGAGAGAGAGAGAGTCCACAAAATATTTACATTAGAAATACAAATATATTACAAAATTTTGAGGTTATATTTGGGGTTATCTACTGGCAACTGTTACATTATTAATTCTTTATCTGACGATAAACATAATTTTAAAAACTAGGAAAATTATTGATATATCGATTGCAAATCTAGATATATTGCGATGCAATAAACATTTAATTTATGTTGATGGCGAAAGTAATTTTTTACAAGACATATAAGTAGCACAATAACGGGAAGTGCGACTGTGCGACAGACACGAAGAGACAGAAGGAGTTCTCGTAAGAAAAGATAGCAGTTGAGGGAGCGGCGTTTCGAAACGCAGCTTCAAAAACGTCCTCTCTTTCTCTCTTTCCTTGGGCTCGGCACTTCCTACGATTGGCGACGACCTCTTTAACGGCTCAGAGGCAACCGCCGTTTCATACCGTTTCAAAGGCGGTGTTCCGCATCGTGACCGCCGTCGTTGAGGAAACACAGACAAGTAAATCGCGCATAAGTTTTTCCCTCGAGCGAACCTGCACCTGAACGTCGAACGCCGGAACATTTTTCACGCCCGGTACTTGTCCCCGTTAACGACTCGCTCCTTGACTCCGTCTTTAACCTGTCAGCAAAGATTTTTTTTCCCCTCTTACCGTCAATTGAGCGCGCTCGTAACGATGCGCTCGATTGTTGCGCAATGCGATTATTTCGCTTTACTGGCGAAACTCCGCGATTTTTCGCCGCGGGCAAAAATATTCTCTGTGAAATTACCAATTATCGATAGTCGTTCGCTGCCTCACAGCCTCTTCTTCGTCCCGGTGCACTCTCGATTATTCGCACGGTTTTAATTCGTATCGGTGATTCGCGACGCCGCACTCATTTCTCTCGACACGTTTGATGAGTAAAAAATTATCACGTCACGTGTAAAAAATGATTCAAGAACAAAGTCGAGTAAAAAAGACGAAAAAGTCAGCTTGTTAGATCGACGTGATCCGCTCGCTGTTCCGACTGATTTATCGCACGGCTTTGATAACCAGACTGCACGAGAATCGAGTTTGAGTCATGAGTGCATAGAATGTACTTAGTGTTTCTATCTCTTTTGCGACACTTTCAAACTTTTATGCGATAACCTTGCGAACGCGTCTCCTGTTTGCGCAAATGGAATGCACGCGACAATCGATAACAGCGTGGAGTAATAATATTTATTATCACGTTGCCATTGTTGCAAAATGCTTATGGCACACAAATTGTTTCACACATTTCACAAATCGTACGTGACACAATGTCTCTTTTGGCGTTCCGAAGTCATTTAAGATTTACTTGAAGTTTCGGTCATATCGGATTGCGATACAAAATAACTTATTTTTCTCTTAAGATTTGTTTTAAGTAGAGTCAATAGACAAGATCAAAATGCAAAAGGGTTGATTACAAAAGTGAGTCATTAACATAGCAAGATTCGACAAATCCGGCTTGCGCGGTCGCGCGTAACGCGGTTCTTTCGTTCTGCGCCTCGACACCTGTGCAAAAGGAGATCCCCTTCCCGAATGAATTCGCTTACCCCTGCCCGCCGAGGAGTCGAATGAAAAAGCGAAGAGGGTTCGACTGGCGTGCCTACGCCCGGTAATTATTTCGCTTGAGTTACTGGGCAAACGGGTGGGCCCTTAGCGCCCCAAAGAAATTTCTGCCGGACGGTCCCCTCGTGACGAAGAAGTCATTTGCATTTCTTACTGCGAGAAAAGATTTCCGATGCCATTCGAGATAGAGGTAATTTAATGTAGTGAAATTTTGCGGGATCCGCAACGCCGTCCAGTAGCTGCTTGCTTGTTTTTCAGAGACAAATGGACTTTAATCAATTCTTTTTCAACAGCACGCATTTCTATAATACAAATTAGAGATTATTAGCATAAATATATTAACTCATTTTTTATTATTGTACATAGAATCCAGTAATTTTTGTTACAAATATTTTGTCCCATATCCCATAAAGAGAATGGAAAATTCCAGCATGCAATATGCATCAAAGGACGTCTAAACAATATAACGTTTGAAGGACAGTACGTACTTAAGCAATGCGCATTAGGCACGTACCGTCATTTTAAAAGTACTTATGTGAACCATACGTGACACTAAACCGATGACTGCCGAAGAAAATCGTGACTTATCTTTTATTTAGGAACAGCTGCGGTCGTGGTAGCGCAAATTAATTGGCTTTTTTGCATAAATTTTCTATTGTTTTAAAAAATGGGACACTGCTAAGGTGGTTCGATCGTAAATTCATTTTCTTAAGAAATTATTCAAATTTATACCATTTGTACTTAGAGAATAGAAATTACAATAGTTCACTTATTAGGCAATACTGTCACGCTTAAACCACCTTAACGCTTCTATTATACGATTCGTAAATAAAACGGCAAAACTGAAAATATGCATCAACTGTTGCGTTATCCATTATCGCCGAAGCGTTGCTTAGGCACGTACCGTCGTTCAAACGTTAATATTGTTTAGACGTACGTTGAGCTAGAAATACTTATGTGAGTCAGACGCGACACTAAGGCTGCAAGACGAACGCAGCCTAAAACGATAAATGTCGAAGAAAACCGCATGACGTATCTCTTATTTAAGAATAGCTTGCGCTACCTGTGGTTGCAGTAGCGCAAATTAAATCGCTTCTTTAATGCATAAATTTTCCTTTGTCTTCAAAAATGGGACAAAATATTCCTACCTACTAAAAATACATATGCATTGCATATGCATTGAAAGATTTGATTTTATCAGAGAATTTTATCTCACTTCCCGTGCGATAAAAGGCTTTATTTTGATCCGCGAATAGAACACAATGTGCACAATATTAATTGTGGCTAGTAGCTAATAACGCTATCAAAAACTATTTTACCTCGCGCGCGTTCTTGACTCCGTTTCTTATCGCATGCTCGCAAACACCCGAGCGTCGACGTTAACCTATCGTTAATGCGTTTCAGATTTGCACGATAGCGCGCGACCACGCTTGTTTTACATTCTAACAGTAATCGTCGACATCGAATTGTTCCGGCGAATAAAACGTTGGATTTGCATCCTCATTATTTTATTAAACTATTCGTGTATCTGCGCACGAAAGCTGATGTCGGTGAAGTTTTTTGAACTTCCCCGTTGAATTTTCGTACGGTTCCTTTTTTGCCGCACTCGACGCGCATGCGGATCTCCGTTTTAGCATATTTGCATTCGAAATTACGCGCCTTAATTTCGATTTCGGGGGAGTCCGGGCGCGCCCACCTCCTTCGGCAACGAATTCCGGACGGTTCCTATGAATGGAATGCATATTCATTCATTTCTTCGCGGTAGCGATGATGCACGTGTTGTCTCGCACGGATCCGACATATGCTAAAATCTTTCGCGCCAACTGTCACTTCCTGCATGAATTCACGGACCTTGAAATGTATTCTTTGCGAAAAGAAATCACCCCGGTCACGCTCGGTTCGACGAGAAAGAGGCTCGCGCGCGCGAGGGGACAGGTTGTCGCTGGGTGAAGGAAGCAAACCGAGCTTCTGATTTCTGTTTGAGAAATCGTAGCAGATGTGACGGCGGTGCTAACGACCCGTGCCTTACTTACGTATTCTGAATAGAGCTCGCCGAGATATTAATTATACTTTCTAGAAGCGCGGAAAAAAAATAACAACGAAGCGATACTTTGTTCTTACGAAGGAGTGCATCTAGTCTACAATTCGAAAACACTGCTAATGAAAATCCTCGAAAAGAGGTTACATGTTACTTCTTTGCGAAGGGTGCATGCACTTAACGAATCCCTTTCTATGAAGTCTGAGACTGCTCAACTTCGAAGTTGAGCCAGCGGCGCGGTTAGTCACCCTTCAGTGCTTTCTGTAAATGTAGTTTAAAA